CGAGCTTCTATTGAAAATGTGTTGAACAAATATTTTAAATAACTTTCATTGAAACTGAAGTTTTTATGAGTTGTTTGGAAATTGAACTACGGATTTGACTTTGATATTTCCACTGAGATTTTATGTTAGATTATGTATATGATTTAAATGCTCGTCACTGTACTCAGACTTTATTTACTTTGGTTACTTACTGGGTTGGTGTACTCACGTTACTCCCTACACCTTGTGTGCAGATCCAGGTGCCAGAGCATTATAGTGAGAGCTTCAGTAGCTTCTGAGTATTTCCGGGGATAGCAAGGTAGTTGCACGACGTTCGCAGACCTGCCTTTCTCCTTCATATCCTTAGTGTTATTTATTTCAGTCTTTTCTTCTTATATTGAGTAGTCAATACTGGACAGTATCTTAGTGGCTCATGACTAGTGACACCAGGATCGGGCGGTGTGGATGTATTTGCGTACCTGTTTTATTTCGCGTATTTTGTTAAATTAAATGCCAGACTTGTGTTCATAACTGATTTGGTAATGAATTTACAAATGACCTTTATGTTATTTGTGTTGATCCGGCTTGCCTAGTATTGTGATAGGCGTCATCACGACTGGGTGGTTTGGGGTCGTGACATTAGGATAGTATTAACACAGTCTTTTTAGAATCTGTGACTAATACGTAATTCTATTACAATCATAGACGATTAGTTCCTTACTAATTTATTGAAAATATTTACTATATTTTTTCTTATTGATTAAAGTAATAGCACAATTTGTATTTTCTCGTTGAGGAAAAAAGGCATCTTCTGTCAGTTACTTAACTTTGTTTGTATCTTTTATGATGAACCTAAGAATATATTGCTTTTCAAATAAAATTTAACGGAATAACTCTTAAATTTTTAAGGGTTAATGCATTCTTGCTAAAACTAAAAGTGAAGAATCATAATTTGTGAAATTGAAATAAGGATATTATAAAATTTTCAATAATTTTTAAGTTGAATATATTAACTGATATGATTTAGGCCTTATTGTGATGAGCCGATAGGTCACTTACAGTTTTAACCTTAAATTTTGTGTTTTAAAACCTTGATTAGCTCTATTTAGTCTTTCTCGATTTGTGTGCATAATCTGTGTCTTTTCCGGAAGGATTTTATGTAAAAATTTGATAAAAATGTGATCATGTCTTAAAACTTATTTTGGTTAACTTCGGTCAATATTTTGAGCAAACAGAAACGGATCAGTATTTTGACGCTCCTGCTGGGTCCATATCATGATTTGGGACTTGGCCGTATGTCCAGAATCAAATTTGAAAGTCCCTAGCTCGAATTATCACAATTTATTGAAAATTAGAGGCTTAAAGGTTTAAAGAATTAATTAGTTTGACCGAAGTTTGGACTTTGTTGATATCGGGTCTGAATTATTATTTCAGAATTTGGCATAGGTTCATACCATATTTATGACTTGTCTGCAAAATTTGGTACAAAACAGAATTGATTTGACGTAATTCGGACGTTCGATTGAAATATTGAAAGTTCTTAAGTTTCATTGAAAATTTTATTCGTTGTATCTGATTTGTAGTTCTAGGTGTTATTTTGGTGTTTTGATCGCGCGAGCGAGTTCGTATGAAGTTTTGGACTTGTGTGCATGTTTTTCTTGGAGCTCCAAGGACTCGGGTGAGTTTCGAATAGGCTTCGGAGTGTTTTGGACTTAGAAAAATAACTAGTAAAACCCTTTTCTGGTGCAGATCCCAGACCTCACAATTGCGATGTCTGGTTTCACATTTGTGATGTTACAGTGCTTCTGTCAAGTTCGCAATTGTAAGCAATTACTTCGCAATTGCAAAGTGGGGTTGGGTCAACAGAGTTCACGCTTGCGATCAAAATGGTCGTAATTGCTAGAAGTCCCAGTTCATATTTGCGAACGAACCATCGCAATTGCGATAACAGCAGAAGTATGAAATCTTTGCATTTGCGAAGGATTTTTCATATTTGCGGGGTTCACAATTGCGAACCCCAGGTCATAATTATGACATCTGCGCCTGGACATAAGAAGGGAAAATGGGATTTTACCTCATTCTTTCAAATTCTCAACCCTAAACATCTTAGAAGCGATTTTTCCAAGAGCTTTTCTTCCTCAATTCATTGGTAATTGACCTTAATCTACTTCCTTTCATTTACCCATTACATTTCATAAGTTTTCATCATTAAACCTAGGATTTTCATGGTGGAAATGAGAGATTTGGGTAGAATTAGAGATTTTTGTAAAAATTAGAATTTAGAACGCGAATTGAGGTCGAAGTTCAAAACAAATGGCATAACCAGTCTCGGGGGTGAATGGTTGATCGGGTTTTAGTTAAAACCTCAATTTTTGACCAAGTGGGTCTGGGGTTGACTTTTTCGATAATGATCAAAATTGAACCTCTTTCATTCATGGGTAGTTTCTAAGGCTTATTTTGAATCGTTTGTTTGATAATTTTCTAGATTTGGTTGGTTCGGAGGCTTGTTCGAAAGGCAAGGCCATAGTTGAACTTTGAATTGGTTGCGGAGCGACGTAAGTATCGTAGTTAATCTTGACTTAAAGCATACGGTAGAACTTGTTTCTTTGTGATTTATTGCCTCTTAATCTATGACATCCATGCTTAGATTAGATTATTACTTATTTGATCATTCCTTCCGTATTTATGGATTAATTGTGATGGTTGAGTATTTTGGGAGTTGAGGTTTGGTATCTTGGAACCATTATTGATGTAAAGTACACCCTTTGCATTATTTATCTCTCGAATTTTTTATATTCATTACTATATGGTAAGGAAGAGTGTTAAAGCACAAAGGGTAATGTCGTGTCGTTTTATTACATCATTTATTGACTAATACATAGAAAGAAAGAGAGATAAAGTACGAAGGATGATGTCATGCCATCTATATCAATTATTCATTGTTACATGGACAAATCGACAGTAAAAGTACGAGGGGTGATGCCGTGTCATTTCATTCTACATATGTCATCATTACATGGTAAGATTGAGAGTAAAAACACGAAGGGTGATGTCGTTCCATCTTTATTCCGTATGTTTATCCGTCTTTATTAGTTGATGATTTAGTTGACTGTCTTGTGTTGTCGATCCTGTCGTAGTTATCGTATCTTGTCCCCCTTTTGCATATTCCCTCCCAATTGTAAATAATAAATCTCTATTTGTTGTTGTTTGGTACATACAGCTATGTTTGTACAAGTTTTATTATGTGAGTGTCCTATTATAACCTCATCACTACCTCGTCGTAATTAGGCTAGACACTTACGGAGTATATTGGGTCGGTTGTACTCATACTACACTCTGCACTTCTTGTGCAGAGCTCGGTACTGGTCCCAGCTGTACGTGAGGTGCACTAGCTCGGATTTTCACATTCGGAGACTTGAGGTAGATCTGCTGACGTTCCCAAACCTTGAAGTCCCCTTCCTCTTTCCTCTCTTACTGTTCATTTCATTCGAAACAGTTGTATTTATTTCAGAATCTATTTGTAGTATTCCAGTAGCTCGTGCACTTGTGACACCAGATTCGAGTTGTATTAGATATTTCAGATGTTATGGTTTTTTGCACTTTACTTCAGAATTTATTTCAGTTATTTCGGTTTCTTTATTATTATTTAATCCGAGCTGTTAAAAATGGATAAATTCTAACGTTGGCTTGCCTAGCAAGTAGAATGTTAGGCGTCATCACGTTTCCGAGAATGGAATTTCCGGATCGTGACACTTATATGGGGTATAGTTTCTTTCTTTATTGTGTTAGCGATATACAACAAATACTATTTTCAAGAACTCATATTTTTTCTATAACTTTTGTTTTATCATTCAAACATAATTTTTATTATAATTTTTAATAGTTCATACTCATCGAGATAATGTTTGCGCACAATGCGCGTATTCTGAGACTAGTAATACAAATAGCTAGAATAGAGACATGCATTTCAAAATAATATATAAATTAGCGCAAAAGAAATTATAAAATCAAAAATTAACTTGAAAGGAATAAATTAGGAATGCAAAACAAAAAAAGGAATTGAAAAAATAAAGCACAAAAAAGGAAAATGCAAGCGTTGAAGCAGAGTAAAAATTGAAGGACAAAATTCTTTGCTTTGTAGTTTGCACTTCGCAGGCAAAGGTCTATATTTGTTACTCATCAAATGACAAAGAGAATAGATTATGAAATTAATACAAATAATTAAAATGATCTTTGACTTTTGAGATTTTTAGTTTGAAAATTTACTATACTTTTACATATTTAAGTTTAAAAAAAAATATTAAGTAATTTTAAGTAATTTTAGCTCAATTTTGGAAAAGTTCTCGGGGCTTACACCACTAAACGAACGCCAGAATGCCGAGGCTTATGCCTCATGATACTTATGCCCTGCTAGCATGTCTCGGTGCGTTTTCGATACGCGTCGCTTCAAGGCTCGTTTAGAAAATATCTTTTAAAATATTGTTCACCGTATTGAGACACTTCAATTGATTAATTAACAACACGCAAGTATCGAAATCTTCCTCTAAAAATAGATCATCAAGACACATGCATTAATTAAATTATAACGCGTTCAACTATAGTCCTTAATCATAAAACAACAATATGGAGCCTTATCCGCCAGAACTTGTTGATTATAAAACGTCAATGAATAGGTTTGCGCAGGTGCTCAAAAGGAAATAGTATATGGAATAGTAGGACGAATAAACGACTAATGTCGTGTGAAAGGAAGCCACATGCAATAGTAGTGGTTAGAAGATTAAATATGATGGAACTACTAACGTGTGAGAAGTCCAGGCCGTGTTAAACATATATGACACATTTAGAATATGGGATAAGGTATGAAATTAAATTTATACCATGTTTGATAGACGGTATAAATTTAATTCCAATTCTACTACATGATATTCTATTTTATCCAATCAAACTTGAAATTATATTATCCCACCTCTCAAGTGAGATAAATTAATCCCTCCAAAATAATTTAGTTCGTGTACCAATCAACCCGGATAATGGTACTGTTTTCATTTGATTGGAAAAAAAGAAGACAAACCACCCAAACTTTGAAATATAATACTTTGTAAGCGTCAGGCATGACATCAGAAGTCACATAACATATCATAGTATAAACCAAATTAATGTACAAACTTGCAATACTTGGCAAAAATTAAAGTCTTGGTTTGAGCTAAAACTTAATAATGGCGTTTTCCGGTGCACAAGTTCTCCTATTTCCATTTCCAACTGCAGGTCACATAATCCCCCTCCTTGACCTAGCCAACCACCTCATAAATCATCACCTAAAACTCACAATTCTTGTCACACCACAAAACCTACCATTACTCGAGCCAATCCGAGCAATTCACCCTTCCGATTCTATTCAAACACTTTGCCTTTCATTTCCTCAACTCCCTGCTGGATCCAGTTTTGCTGCAAGGGTTCGTGCAACCTCTGAGCTTTACGATCCGATTGTCGATTGGTTCCGTACCCACCCGTCACCTCCTGTGGCCATTATCTCAGACTTCTTCCTTGGTTGGACTCATAAACTGGCATGCCGACTAGGTGTTCGACGTATTGCCTTTTGGCCGTCCGGAGCTTTTACTTGCTTAGTTATAAGTCACACATGGAGCAACGTTGAAGAAATCTTGTCTACAACTAATGAAAACTCTTTGATTACTTTCACTAATATTCCCAATACGCCGGAGTATCCTCGGTGGAAGGTGAGTACGTTGAGCAGTCAGTACAAAAAAGGAGACCCCGATTGGGAATTCTTGAGAGGTGGTTACTTTGAAAATATGAAGAGTTGGGGTGTTGTGTTTA